GGGGGAAGAACTGTGAAAATGGTAATAGAATATATAGTGGTTGAGGATCAATATAGTTCTGTGTCACGTCAAATAATTAAATATGTATCCAATGCCTCATTATGTGTATATAAATGTCATGTAGATTTAAGGGCTATTCAAACTTAGGGAGCAAGGAGCCCTTGGATTCCTGGGCCTTATTTATATATTAAAAATGCTAATCGGTTTCTCTTTTAAATTTCACAATGAATTTACTAGGTTGACAAGTGTTTTTTTTTTAAAAAAAAGAGACAAGTGTTTTAATAAGATATGTTTATGACAATTAATAATTATATATACTTTATTAAATAAAAATGTGTTTTTTAAAAAAAATTTCTTTGTTCAGTTTAAAAACTCCACCATTAATGTATAAAATAATAATGACATAATATTTAAAAAAATTTAAATAAGTTTTATTTTTTATTGTGTTTAATCAAATTTTATATTTTTATTTTGAATCAAGTAAACTTTTATAACTAATAATTGATTAATTATTATTAATCAAAATATCACTTATTAGGTCACGTCAAATGACACTAACCTAACATGTTAACATGTTTTAAAAAATAATGATGTGGCTTAGAAACATGACCATTTAACATTTTATCCATCCACATCAACACTTTATGAGTATAAAAATAACAAATGATAATTAATCAAGCTTTAATCATAAAAATTTATTTAATTCTAAATAAAATTATAAAAAATTGATTAAACGTAATAAAAAATAAAAAATATTTACATTTTCTTAGATAGTTTAAGAATTTTTTTAAGTGTTATGCCTAATTCATATCTCTTAACATATTATATCTCTTATTACATACATTTTATATAAATATATATATTATTTGAAAAAAAATGGTAAAAGGTAAATAACAAATGCGCCCATAAATAGCACAAATCGGTTGAAATTGCCCTATTAGAAATACAAAGCTACAGAAATCAACCTAGTTTACAGTAATAATTTTACCATGCCTATTCATGTATTCATGCACGTTAAATTGAACCTCCTTTAAAAAGTAGGCCTTTTTTGTTAAGTTGGTCAACCTTTTTCTCCACAAGGCAAGCCAACCTACGCAAGCAAAGGGGTTTGGATTTTCTATTTCTTTCTCTAAAAGAATAATTCTTTACTGTTTAAAAGTATAAAACCTACAGAATAGAATACCATCACTTTTAATGAAAGAGGTTAATTTAAAGTCCCTCGAAAAAATTTACGGCATAACAACAAGGCAAAGTTACCATAAAACTAAAGCCGAAAATAGTTACCAACTTGCACTCGAGACATGTTTATATTAAACTACACTTGACTTTCACCAAAGGAGTTTGCCATTTTTAATACATTAAAGGCCGCAACTCGAGCAGGGGTTAGGTCAAGTTGGACGACAACCCCATAGCCAATCTGAAGGCTGTAACAGTTTATACTCAACTTCAAGCCAGATTTGGTACATCTGCTTTATATGGTTGGACCATAAATAAGTGTAGGGAAGATTGTTACAACACGTTAGGTTTATGTGCTGTTTGTGGACTGGGATTAGACTCTGTAACAAGCTTAAGCTCTAAAGTAACACTTGCTGTTATTTGTTTTCCATATACTTCATATGTTTTTGTTACAGAGCAGGAAAATAAAACTTTTTGCCATTCTAATTGTATAACCTATACCTCTCGTCCTAAGAAGAAACGACAGCTGGGCCTCTTAAGACTGTTAGAATTATGTATGAATAGTTTCGGGCCCAAAGTTGTTGAGCTTATAAAGATATTTTTATTCTTATATTTGATTTGACTTGGCTTTTAGTGTGCAGCCTTAAAGATATATATAAAATAATTGATATTTTTTTTATAAATTGTATATTAATTTATTAAATGCAATCAATATTTTTATAAACAGGCGTTTTTGTGTGTTACTTCATTTTAATTACGATTTTCCTAATACTGCTTGGATTAATTTACTTTTAAAACTGTTATAGATGGGCATGCATTTGCACGAAAGGAAAATCGTGTAGCCCGAAACAACAGCATGGATTGGGGTTTTTCTTTTTTTTTTTTAGAGATCTTTTAACAGAAAAAGAATTTGGAAGAGTCCAACGTGTCATCAATTATTTATGTGGTGAACTGTTACAATCAAGACCATGACCTTAACAATGCATGGCTTCGTATAAATAGAGCACACCATACGAATTCTTTACCCTTTTTGTAGTTTTGCAATAAACATACAAAATAGCATTTATATAAAATCTTAGATTCGAGTCGTAGTTAATCAATTAGTAAGCTATTCCCGGTTGCAAACTTCCTCTTCAAACAATATATATATATATACCTTGATTCTAGATGAATACCAAAGTACATATAATTTGATAGGGCCCATTGTAAGAGGATGTGGCTTTCGCCATATGATCGTCGCCTGAGTTAATTTGATTTTTATATTCGAGCTATGGATATGTAGGACGGGGGAAATTATGACAAAGGTGAGACATCAAAGAATATCCCCATCAATCGGACGGTCGAGATCAAAAAAGCGACTGCAATGCATCCTTATGTGAGCCACAGGTTCATTGAAAACGATGGCAAGTCCAATCAATCCACATTTTTGATAGCACCAATCGCTTCTACCTGGCTCGGATAGCGTCCACACCCACAGTTTTTTGGACAGATTAGTTTTACAGCCTCAAGCAACTTAAATCAGACATAATTAGGTAAGTGATTTGAGAGCCTTAATTGCCACCTCTCTCTCTATACTTGTATCTCATTTTCGGCCTTCAACCGTCACCGTTTAATCCTACCAAAATTACATGTATTCTTTGCAGGATTTTTTAAATGGTAATACTCGTGTATACATTCATCATAGCCCTTTACCAAGCATGTGTATGTAAGTTATTCGCAAGCACAAAAAATGTGACAATAGGTGTATCAGATTCTATTAAGTATACTGAAAACGAATAAAAGAAATAATGAATATGAAAGTCGAATACAATTTAAAACAGTAAACAGATTCGTCATATCGAATTAATCTTTGTTTAGATAATTTAGATTATTGAAGTGATAGTGCAATATAGATAAATAACAGTGATTTATCGGCAAGGCATTTGAATTCGTTATTTAAAAAAATAATATCGACTCAAAGTGCCCAAAATTTTTAAGTGGTGAATGGAGATGAGATTTAGAAAAAAGAAAAGAAGAAGCCCGCGGGCAGCAGGGACATTACGTGCAGACATGAAATACGTAAAGGTTTCAGATTTTAGGGTTAGGGTTTGGTGTTGTAGGGGCAAATACAGACCACAGGTATGAAAAAGGAGATAAAACGAATATAAATAACACGTATAATGACAAAGACCTCTAATTTCATGCCAACCAACCCAAGTTGTGTTATCAAATTATGATTTTAAAGGTAAACAATATATAATACATTTATGTTCCAAAGGGGCATAATAAAGTTAAATAAAAAATATTGGTGAGCTAGCTTCATCTTTTCGTTTAGATGGTTGCAGCGAACTTAAGGTGTTGTTCAACTGATCTATCTGTCCAAACATCGGAGCTTTCTTCTTCTTCTTCTTCTTCTTCTTCTTCTTCTTCTTTTCCCTTTCTTCTTTTTGTTTCAAACAGCAGAATTTTATGATATTATTATAATAAATGAAGTGGAAGAAGGTAACGAAGGTAGAAAAAGTTATGGAAAAAAAAAACAATCAGGTAAAGTAGAAGATAACAGGAAAATATAATGATTTTCCATATACAATTTCAACAGAGGAAGACTGAAAGATTCTCTGAGGTGAGGTTCCTCTTATCAATTATATAACCCCAGATTATGATTTTTCTTTTTATATTTATGACCACTGACTTGGTCAAAGGCTGTGGCTAGGAAATACTATAATTTTTTTTTCTCTTCATTTATTAGCTTGTTGTATCAAATAATCTGTAAGGAAAACAGATGGAAACGCCATACTTATTTTTTTCACCTATCATTAAACCTAAGTTACCAAACCATTTAAACATAAGAAATGAATAATTAATTGATGTTAAATACAAACCAGATTTTATTTTCATTATTTATGCAATTCAGTTACTGTTTCTATATAGTGCACCTATTTTTTAAAACAGGGTTTTTTATGGGTTTTGAAAAGGAATGGTAGTGATGGTTGTTATCTTTTTCTTTTATACCATCAACAACCATCTTCCCTAATTTGTTTGCTTGCCCACCTCATTATTCTCAACAAAAGAAAAATTAATTTGTTATACTGAAATATGGAATATTTAATGGAATATATATTTAAAAGAAATAAAGAATTCCTCTATAATATCTATCTTTTTCTTCTTTTCACACTAAAAGGATCAAACCACAACTCTCTTATACTTTGACCAGTTGCCTTCATCACAGCCTTTCTCTCTCACACACATGGGTGTCCCACCCTGATCTTTTTGAGTGAAACCACGAGCAGAAGCAGCAGCCTCTCTTTTTGAGAAGAAAAGGCTAGAGAACAACTCCTTTCCCTCCTTTCTCTTTACCCCTCTCTCAAACAAAAAAGATTTAAAAAAACAAACCCTAGTTCTGCTGAACTCTTACAGGGCTAAAAGCCAAAAGAAAGGCAAGAAAGAGATTACAAGAGACCCCTCCCAGCAAAGTTTACTTTCATTTTACCTCTCTTCTGCAACCATTAGTTTGATGATCCCTGAGCTGTTAATTCCTTTCTTTACACATACCCTTTTGCTCAAAGACAAAGTAAAAGCAAGCAAAGCACTGTCTTCTTTGCAGATCAGAGCTTTAAAGACAACATGGGTACTTTCTGATAGCTCTGCTTCCAGAAGATCTTCCTCTTTCTTCTCTCTTTTCCTTCTTTTTTTTTTCTTTCCTTTCTTCTCTCTTTTTTGTATTACCTCACGCTTCGTTTTGTAGCTTCCTTCTTAAATGAGTCCGAGTGGTAAGTAAGCAAAAAATCTCTTCTCTGAAACTCCTCATATCTCTGTGTCCCTTTTACGTCTTTCCCTCTTTTTTCTTGGCTATTTCCGGTCTGTTTGTCTTTTTACCCCTTCTTTCTCATGGATTCTGGTAATAGTGGTAGTATGCCATCTTCGAGTGGTGGCAGTGAAGAGTATGATTCACGCGCTGAGTCCATCTCAGCTTTCTTGAACAATAATTCATCGAGCCATGTTGGTCATGGTCCCTTGGGGAACCAACCACCACCACCAGCACCACCGCAACAGCAACACCAGAGTCACTCTTCATCAGCTATGTTTGACCCTTTATCAAACTACTTCGATCATCCTTTATCAAGATCACCGCAACTTACAACAATTCCAAATTCACTCCTCAATCTTGATGTGGTTTGGTCCAAAAATCTAAGATCTGAGCCCAATTGCACTGATCTTGGTGGGTTCATAGCGTCATCATCACCAACCCAACAGTTGTTGACCAACCAGCAGGCACAAAGCAGAGCTACTTTTCCTTCTATGCAGATCCCTCAAGGACCAGAGAGCGCTACAAAAAGTTCAATTTCAGGCACAGGTGACCAACCCAACAACAACAACAGCAACATGGTGCGTAACCCAAAGAAGAGATCCAGAGCTTCTAGGCGTGCACCAACAACTGTTTTGACCACAGACACCACCAATTTCCGAGCCATGGTTCAGGAGTTCACTGGGATCCCTGCACCACCCTTCACGTCCTCACCTTTCCCGAGAACCAGGCTTGATCTATTCGGTACACCTTCCACTATGAGATCAACCCCTTTAGACCCTTCACCTCCTCATTATCTTTTAAGACCATTTGCCCAAAAAATCCACCCTCCCCCGTTTGTTTCTTCTTCTACGGCTTCCTCCTCATTTCCTAGCTCCTCGATGGTCGATGCTATAGCTTCTACTCCTAGTACTAACATCACTTCCGCATCTGCTAGTAACAACAATACTACTTCTAGTTCAACTTCCATTAACTACCAACTGTCATCCGAGTTAGGCCTTTTAAAGCAGCCTCAAAATCTCCTCAATATCAACATGCAAAACCCAATTCTTAACTTCCAATCTCTCCTACAAGCCCCTCCAAAATACCCGCTTCCCAATTCAACCATTCTTGGAACAAAACTGCAAGGGTCCTCAGATATGCCATCAAATGACTCTTCTCTCAAAATGGGTGTTTTAGAAGAGTTTGGTTTGAGCCATGGCCATGTCAATACCAACCTCAGCGGGCTCCAAAACATGGTATCATCGGACGGGGCATTGCCAAGAAATGATAGTAGTACTAATCCTCCAAGCTGGGGAGAAGGGACAGGCTCCCAAGAACATGATCAAAGTCTCCTAAGGTCCATCAATGGCGGCTACAACAGTAACTCTCAGAGAGTCTCAAATGGGAAAGTGAGCAACTTCTCGGCTTCTTCATCGGACTTCCATGGCGATAAAGGGCCAGAAAATGTAGCTACAAGAAGTGAAGGTATGGTGGAGTCATGGATATGTTCCTCAGATTAGGAGTATCTAAAACGTTACCAAAAATAAACCAAAAAAAGAAAAGGTTTCAAAATGAGAAAATCTCAACAAAGAATATCAAGGAAATGATGCGAGTACATCACATGATGCATGAAAGAGATGGAATCTTTCTTGTTCTCTCCCATATTAACCATGACTTTCGACATAATTGAAAACACTGTTTTTTTTTTTCTTTCCTTTTTGTCTTATCTTTTTTTCTCCCCCTTTTAAAGTTTAAACCTCCCCCTTTTATTTTGATCATCACTATGTAAATAATAGTAGCGTCTCTCTATATATATTCTTTTTTCCTTCTTTTATTTGTCACATTTTCTCATATTATAATAATGTTCTTCATACATGGACGATCATGGCCTTTTTTTCAACGTTGTCGTCTCAACAGTACAAAAGTGAATGGTAGTTGTTTAGTATTCTTCTCATTCCTTCGGAGAAATTTCTTTTTATATAGTTTTCTTTTATGGGGTTTTGACTATTGTAAGGATCAGAATGTGAATGCAAATATCAGACAACGAAACCATGAAACTTTGTGTTCGTTTCTCGTACATTTTTTTTTGGGTTATTTGCACAAAGAGGGGAAAAAATGCAATAATTGACTGTAAGAAAGCACCATGGCCTGGGGTTTTGTCCGGTTTCTTCGTATCATTTATCCAACTCTGAATCTTTATTTTATTCTTGTTTAAAATTTTGTATGATGCCTAGGAGTGATTGGTGGCGAGATTTGGGGAATCGTTAACCGCCGCAATCTCAATTTAATTAGTTTTCAATTATCTCTTTCCTGTGTGAGTTTGTGCTTCATTTTCCTTCTTTTATAATTTGGATTGATTGTTTTTTACTCCTTTTATAATGTACATACCTGTTTCATGACGTTTTTAATACTTTAATTTAATTGCTATAGTTTAGGAACTGTATCAATTCCAATTATATGGCCATGTCTTAGAGCAGGGATCATTTCGCACGTAAAAACATGGTTGTACGTTTTGGACAGATTAACCTTTTTATTGGGTATTTGAGAGGTACAACCGTGATTTTCTCTCTTCCCTGTTGTCTTGGGCCATTGGCATAATGGGGAGAGTTTATTGTTGGAAGTCTAAAATCTCTATTTCCATTTTATTCAACACAGACCATGTCTTGAATTTTAGAAAAGTAAGCGTACATTGTTCGTTTTTTATGTAATAACCAAAACAAATGTACATGTTTAATGCTATGATTAGTTTAGTTGTGGAGTCCGGGTTCTACAATAAGAGAAAATTATGAGTCCCAAACTAATGGAATTCCTATGTGATGGTCAAGGGAATTTCTCTCGTTTCTGCGATTAGGATGGGACATAACTGTTAAAACGAAAGGAAAATGTGGGTGGGAAATATGGAAACTAGGTCCATCTTCATGTTCTGTCTCTTTTGTTTCTCATTAAAACAACCCCACTTTTAACAGATAAGTTTTGGTCATAATATTAGGGTCTAGCTAGTCATACAGTTAAGAGATATATGCACTTGGTTAATGCCAACGACTAGTTTGAGCTGGCCATTGACGTATGTAGATATATTGATCAGGAAATGAAGGAATCCATCCTGTTTTATATTAGCTAGCTAGGATGATAATTTGTTCGTACACAACAAGGAACACGTTGGACAAGCTTAATCTCATCGTGCAAACATCAGTCTTCACTCTCATGAGTCATGCGCAAATTGAGTGGACTGTGCTTTATCCAAAAGCAGTGATGTATATATACAGTAAGCCTCCTATCAAATTCAAGAAATGTGGTAAAATGTTCTTTTAGATATATGGTTACCAAGTTAGTACATTTAACTAACTATTCACAACTTTTTTTTTATGGCAATTCGTATAGAGTTGTAAGTCTCGCTGATATTAGGGTGTCATGCTGCTCGGAACAAAAAACAGTGACATTGTTCTTCCATGCAATTAAAGTAAATATTCTCATGCAAGGAGTAAATACTATTATATGTTTAGGGATTCATAATTATATCCCAAATCCCATAGTTAGCAAAAGCTATATATTAAAGACAAGCATATTTCCACGTATGTTTTGAATTCCTTAAAAAAGAAAGGGTAGATGGACATAATGTCACTCAGCTGCCAAACCCTTCACTTTTGCCGTTATATATGAAGGAAGAATCGTGTTTTCTCTTTCCTGAATTTGCACTCTCTATATTATGAGCATTGAAGGAGAAGCTGTTCTGTTCTCATGCTGATCTATATATATACATATATATGTTAATGACCAATGAGCTTTAGGAGCTGTGAGGAACCAAGACAAAAAAAAGTGAATGCGTTCCGTAGTGGCTACTAAGTTATGACTTTTGTGATTCATTAGCGATAAATTCCTGTTGCTAACCTAAAAAAAGTTTTCCAAAAAGGAAAAAATTCAAAGGCAAAGAAGACAAAAGAAAACCGAAATATGAAAGGAACCCTAGATGAGGCCTTTTTGTCAAACACTAGCATGGTACTAAAAGACATGGTTTCCCGCCAAGGGTAATTGACACATGCAGACCACAAAAAGTTTTCTCAACTTTTCAAAAATTTGTAAAAATTGAAGGGAAAAAGCAACTCTTCTTGAAAAACTCTTTATCAATGTCACAAAGTGGGTAATCTTTGCATGAAAGGGTGATATATCTAAAAAGTTAGTAATCTTTTTCATGTCATTGATTGATAGATCATGATCTTTTTCACTTCAATAATAAATATAAACTTTCACCTTTGGTTTAAAATTTGAATGATGAGAGGGCATGGCATGGGGGAGTTTCAAAATTTTTGATTCTTTTTTCTAGCCCAAGTGGTGGAAATATACGATTCGTCATCAATGAAAATAATAATAATAATAATAATGATATAAACACGCATAGGATTTTGGGGAGAGTACTTTTATAAAGGGGTACCCTTCTTATTTTGTTTTTGTTTTTCTCGCAAGAAAAAAATTTAAATGATTAGCCATGGGATTTTGGGAGATTTAAGGCCTGGCCTCTAGAGAAGGGATGGGTGTGTTGTGACCTGTGACACTTCTTTTAGCATCATGGTGGCCCATGCCCAGTGAGTAGCATAGCTAGCCTTTGCTCTTTAGCAATGATGGCTCTTCTCTCTTACTCAGTCCCTCTCAGCCCGCAGGGCTATGCCAAAGGCTGAAAACAGTGTGGCAAACAGGCAAAATTAAAGGCATCGCTCTCTCTCTCTCTTAAAATACCCTACAAATTTGAGCCGGAACTCAAAAAGATACACAACTTTTGGCATCGCACTTCCAAAAGGCTGGCGCCATTCCCTCTTCACTTGAAACCATTCCCTCATGCATTCGAAAAAGCATAAATTAAGTACCAAAGAAATAAAAGCATATATTCAACTACCCAATACTGGAAGAAGACAAACTTTCTTATTTGTATAATAGTATTACTATATTCCCCAGCGCATATGTCTTGTTTAAATTAAGCTAACTTCTCTGTGTTTTTAAGTCAAAAGAAAATTATGTTACTGTTTATAACACTTAAATTAATTTGGGTTTCTCTTTTTGACCTCAAATTTACAGCAGTGGGTTCTCAATGCCTTCCTTAATGGGAGAAACAGTGTATATGTTTTAAAATATATAAGATATTTTGTTATCATTTCCTATGATTATTCGATGGATATTTTATGCTTCACTTTTTTAAGTGGTCCACTCTTGCTTCTCCTTTTTTAAAGAGTAAAATAAGATGGCTTAGCAGCAACTAAATCATAATGGTGCTTGAATAATCAATGTATATATATTTTTTCAGTTGCACATGAATTATGGAGAGACATGATGAAAGCAGACGCAACAATAAATCTAACTGACTGAAAATATATTGGCCTTCCAAGTCTTGAGCGAGTTTTAGTCTCTAGTGCTAGACTTTGCTTGTGGTCTCACAACTTACGGAAAATTAACCTTAGCTACCCAGCTTAGCTAGAATTGGCAAAGAGTGCAGGGTTTGCAGCAACATTAATTATCGTATTTCTTTTACAAAAAAATAGTACTACAAGAAATTAATGTTGGTCGGCAAGTGTAATTAGAAAGCCTATGAATGGAAACACGTGTGCCAATCGTGTTAATGCATGCTCAAACACAACTTGCAGGGAGGGTTAAACCCTAGCTGGCAGTGGACCATTGCATGTTAAAGGAGATTTCCCATTTTACACTGCTTTTAAAACCTTATATAGGAGCGATGGAAGACTGAAGGAAGTTTCTTTTATAAAATACTTATTTTTTAATTAATTGCCAAGTTAAATAGCCTTCCTTCTTGTTGTGCAATATATGTACCAAGTACAACCTTGTAGATTCAAAAACGTCTAATAATACTATCATTTTTATCTTTAATCTTTCATTAGAAGAAAAGAGAATTTAAATTTGACTGTTTAATTATAATAAGAGATAATCTTATTTCATTCGTGCATTTATTGCAACTATTGCTTAGCACAAGTTGCCGTTTGGAATGAGTTTATAAACCATTATTGTAGTCTTGTCTTTTTTTTTTTTGCAGAAAAAATTTATAAGAAAGAAGAAAGGTTTCTTGACTGCTAAAGTGAGCATATGTCGAGGGCTCTACATCACTAGGACTTAAATTTGTAGGCATTGGCATGTGCCAAACAACCTATGTATGGCAGATATATAGACCGGGGATCAATAAACATAAATCTCGTACAGAATTCTACAGGCCTATACATCCATCAACGGGGTCACACGTGCTTTCAGGTTCAGCTTAAATTGGGATGACAAGTCTATGAAAAAGTCTGTTCCAGTTGAGCAGGCTAGCGAAGAACTTGATTTCTTTCTGGTTATCATCACTTTTCTGTGTTTTAAAGAGATATTCAACAGTTAAAAGACGGATTTACAGTGACGGCGATGAGGTGAGCTACGCCTATTGAAGTCCGGAAGGATTGTCTAACCACCACAAGTGTCAAATTTTACTAGGATCGATGCTGCTTTTTCTTCTTTTAGGAAATCGAAAGGTTAATGCATTAATTAAGATACAAAAGGAAACCGGCCCTTGCCCCATCTCGAACTAATTAATAAACCAAACAAGGAATGCGAGATCATATGCAAAAGTTTTAATTTCCTCTTCACTATGTCAATAATGATCAAATCGTGATAGATAGTAATAATAGTTTCTTCCATGTCACTACAATCACTGTATTGTACTACTTATTAAGCACCCTGCTTCCATGCAAAATGCAAATGCACTTGAATCGTTGATATATAGAATGGTCCTGAATATATGCCCCAGGATATGATAGGCATATATATAGTAGGAATTAAGTAGGAACACCAACCCACGCTATATCTTGGGTACCTTATCACCCAAGTCTTCACTAAGTGTAAATATAT